TATTTATCTAAGATAAAAAAAAGCATCTAAATCAATTATTTTAATTCATTTTGATTATAGACACAACGATTTTTTATACCAGAATAATTTTGAGTTGTCATGAATAAGTTATAATTTATAAAACTATTCTGGGAACAGCAGTCTCGGTTTTGGTTTACTCATCACTAGTCAGTAGCCATCAATGTTTATTTAATGTGGGCACACTGATTATAATGCATCCGCCGCTCAAAATGAAGGTATTCATTTATGACTATAATGCGCGGCTCATCAATAGGAATTCACTCGTGTCCGCGCAACAGAAAAATTATTTGCGCCGAGACCGCGACTGTGTATAGGAATCGAATCATTAGGCCGGGCGCACATTGAGACATAGCAACTATTGTACCCGTGTCGACCTGCGTCAAGTTTCCAAATATGTATTTATTTTGTTTTGTTCACGTCGTGTTTCGAATATTTCGGTGTGTGAAATAGGTAGGTCCTATTGGAATAAAATCAGATGTTTAGCGTTTGTACAAAAATCTTACTTGAATAGCCGTTGCATTGTTGGGCGGGCACATGACTGCGAACACCTGATTCTGGGATCCTAGTACTCAAAAATTGGTTTTATTGAAAAATTTCCTTGGAAAAAATAGTTGATGACAGTTGAAATTATGAAATAATTTTTTTCCGATTGATTCACTCGCGGTCGTTTCACAGGCAAATGAAAAAATTGTAAATAATTGTACCTTTACCGAAGACGCAAATTACCTTCTCAATACAAAACATGAAAACAATGAAGTATGATGAAGTATAATAATAAAGTATGTTAGTTATACTAGTGACGACACTAACAGACTAATGACTAACAGTTTCTAATTACCAGTGTCATATGACTGCCGGCTCTCTTTTGCCACTCGTAGTGTCGTGAATTCAATATTGGTATAAAGTATACTGTATAAAGCGATACACGCAAGAACGGCGACGGTGAATATAGGTTCCTGCTTAGGTAACCACCCTTGCTTGTAATCATAGTAATACAACAATGTTTGAATAAATAACTAATTAAATTATTTATTTTAGGTATATATATATATATATATATATATATATATATATATATATATATTATATGTTTTTTTTTATATTTTAATTGAATATGATGACATAATAGGATGATAAATTAATGAAAATAACTAACTTGTACCATAGGCGGAGATTGGGTAATGCTTGGGAGGCTTAGCCCCAAAATTATTGTATTATAGTATTATTAATTATTTATAATATTAATTATAGTATTGTTGGTAGACGAGTTATCGCGACACAATACACCGATACCTCGTATTACCATATTATCAATATTATCAATTAAATTAATAATATTGAAAATGTACGTTCCGCAAATACAAGATCATAAGATCATTTTTTTTTACGTTGTAACTAAACTGATAACGTAGTACACGACGTTCGCGATTGCACATAAAACCCGTGATATATTACTATGCTGAAACCAGAAAACCAGAATGAATGTAGTTATTCTCATGATAAACTTTGAAGTGTCATGAAAACTAAAACCAACGATGAATATTAAATCTAAAGTTGATTGCCTATGGCAGTAGTTTCCAAATTATGATCCGCAGAGCTTTTAGGGTTCCGCAATTGTTTCTCAAGCGCTCTGTTCGTTTTACTATAGCAATTTTAATAATATAACAATTGTTGATCGTTATTTAAAACAACAAGCAATTTTTTTTTTTTTACAAGACTTTGTTCACTTAAATATAATTCGCCGATTTGCAGAACATATTTTAAGTAATTTTTAGTGGGTGGAACTTCGATAAAATTGTCTACCATCGTAATTCATAGACGTGGGGTCTTCCTGCAAGGAGGACCATACAGGGAATATCAATTCTTGTTATTACAGTCGTTATAAGAATGTGTTGGTTAGTGGCACGATCATCCACCACTGGGGGGGTGGCTCTAGTACTATGTACTTTATATATTAAAATATGCTCTGCCGATCCGTTTACAAACAATATTAAAATCCCGATAAGAAAGTATAATTTTTTAGTTTTAGATAATACACATTCCCATTTCAGTTATTAACTGGCCGGGTATGTTGTATAAATATATATACATTATCTCCTTTCGTCCGAGACGGTCTACAAAGTGTCTTTCGATTAAAAAAAACCGCTACATTTAACGAATCGATTGTGTGTAGAACTGTTTCGGATATAGATATACTCGTATGTACACTTACGATTACTATTACACGGGTGGATCACATTAACAATGTTATATATCATTAATATATAGACACCAGTAATAGCAACAATTAAAAAACCGTAGGGTATAGTAATCGAATATATACCACAAGGTGATCTATCGTGTATTGAATTGTAGAATACGTGAAAGGTAATTAGTATCAAATGAAGATATCCAGAGGCGAACCACTATATATAACAATAAATAATAATAATTCAAATAATGGATAGTCCAGGGTTGGCCGCATAGTAATGATTAGTTAATTCTGTAGTTTTCTACACAAATCGCATATCGTTAGAAAAAAATACTGTATTGGCAATGAAAGGAAAACAAAATACGAAGACTTCACACAAGACTGGGGTATTAATTATAAAATATACATTTACGTAAGACAAAACGCAAACCATAACCGGGTTAAGCGTATCATTCTCTTGAAAGGACCAGTTTCTTACACAAGAACGGGGTATATAAGGTAGTCCCGAACAGACCAATATTCAGATGTGTTTTTAGTCCGATCGTAACGTCCTTCTCGCCAGTTAATCTTTTAAATAAATTAAATGTTTTGGACTTAGAATATTTTACAATTATAAACTGTAATATAGTTAGTGAACTTTATTTTATGTCTTTATTATTTACCATTAAGTATATTATGTTTGTTGTTCATAATCCCAAAACAGCTGTTTGCATTACAGTAACTGTTCGTGAAAATAATTTCTTCATATATTACCATATAATATAAAGTTATACGTATAGAGTATATATATATATATATATATACACACATAAATATTGTTAAATTAATCTGTATACATAAATAGTGAAGTTTCGACATATGATGTAATTATTGATAATAGATATTTTAATTTACTATTTGTAGGACCTACTAGCAGTGATAAGAAAAATTGTTCATTTCGTTTGTGAAATCATATTGTATGAATCATTTGAACTAGTGAACTAGATGAACTATAGAATAGTTCATCTGAACTATTAATTTCATTGAACTGTGAACTAATGAACTTTTCCTTAAATTGAACTGGAAATTCCTTCTCAGCGGCACGCAACATCGCAAGCGTTGTACCGGCGAGGCAGTGTTCTGCGCCGAACACCGTTATTACGTACGGACGCATAGGCCGTATACTCAGACTATAAGATCTTTGGTACGACAAGATCACGGTCAGTTACATGCTGCCCTCTGTCGGTCGCCGTCGCCACAAGAGCACGGCAGGTACGTGCCGGGGATTTGTTATGGGCAATAATAAACGGCGAACGTAAGTGTTCGTGGAACGTGTTGTGCACGGCGCGTCACCGCTACCACTAGTTTCCTCCGCACCGTCTTCTCACCCGTTGCCTTCGTGTCACTCCGCCGCGACCACATGTCACCCCCGGGGCTGTACGCGGGATCAGTCAAACGTACCACCGTTGCCGCGCAACCACCTCACCTCCACCGCCACACCACTGTAGGCTTTACGTACGATCTCTATGGCAAGGTGTCCATTAGTGCGAAGCGACATGATTCCCTCGGTCGGCGCAACAATTTTGGGCCCATCGATGCAAGCCGACAAAGCGATGCGATACATCGCGATGTACTAACAATTACGTAAATCGATACGGAATCATGACAAGTGGCGCGATACTATTACCAAGTGATCGGCAAAATGTGCCCACAGATATATAAAATATATGCATTACACGTGTCTGTGGCAGTGACAAGCCCTCGTCGATACGAAACCGAAATGATACCGGTGTTGCTCAGTATGCACTGTTCCAGTTATTTCGCAAGGAATACGCGTAGTAAGCGCAGTGCCGGATTGCCTATTAGGCGGAGTAGGCGCCTGTCTTAGGGCCTCACTCATTAAAGGGGCCCTGTGAAATCGGAAAACTATATATTTTTTTTTTATTTAATAATACCTGTATTTTATTTACAAATTTACGAGACAAAAGTCATGAAATATAATAAATTTATAAACATATATCGCAAACGCTTACGCCGCACTACTTTTTTCGTTTGAGCGTTTATGAACGTGGGACAGTGACGTATAGGTATGGTCTGGCGACGTCAAGGTTGTAGCGCTTTACGTTTCAAGTGGAACGGTGTGTGAGCGCTTAATGTAAATAATTTGTCCGACCGGAATGCATCATGTATCAAGCACAAGATTGTCTGTTCTCTGCATTCAAATGTTGAAGTAATCACTCTGATCGGAAAATACATATTTCCTTTTCGCAAAACTGACACAACCACGAACTACTTTTATTAGAAATCATATTGACTGTAATTTATAGGCACTTATAAATGCAGGTTGTGCCTGTTCCCCCTCCCCCAAATAACGCCCCTGCTATGTTGATAGGTTAGGGTTTTTAAGCTATGATTTTGTTTTTGATATTTATCATGTAAAAAACAGTAATTATCATGGAAATAAGTATTAAATTCTATTACTAGCGCTGTGTGTCATTTTCAGAAAGTTAAATTTGAGACCCTTTTTTTGTTTACGTGTAAGTGGTGCATAGGCCGTGCACCTTACCTAGAATATTTACACAATAGGGAGGGGCCCGCGAGTTGTGAACCAATATTTATCGTAGTATTTTTAATATTGATGTATGTATAAAAGAGGTTGGCCGCACTGGATTATCAACCGACTCTCGCTAACGAACATGACGCCATTCCCGTTCTTCTCATTCACATACGAAAAGTGTTTACTGCAACAGTGAAAACTGTCGACTTAATATATACTAATCTACCAACTCAATAGTATTTCTTTGTCCAGATATTATCTAGTCGTCATGGGTAATAAAAGACGCATAGCGAGAACCGGTCCTGCCGCCGGCACCAGAGCCTCCACTAAGTTCGTGAACATGGCCACAACCATTAAAAGTAAGTCAATACTGTACAATGATAATTTTTTTGTTTCATTAAATCAATTTTTTAATATATTCCACATAATTATTATATATACACAGTGGTGTATTTATAAGGTTTCCACTACTCCACCACCAGATAATTTACAGATCTCAAACTTTTAAATTTATAATTTTTATAAAACTTTATTTTATAAAAACTAATATAAAAATAATATTAGTGTTTTTGACTGTGCTAGTCGAAACACATTATTTACTTCCAAGACCAATGACTATTGCTGTAGCTAGTAGTTTGCAGAAAATTGTGGTCCACTAATTGTAGTGATAGTTCGATGGAGATCATATTTTGTTTCAGAAAAGATTTAATGGTCTTGCTTTGTTATCGATTTATCCAGATTTAATTATTATAACCGATAGAGTATTGATAAATTGGCAAATAAAAGATGGAAGCTAGAGTTAATCATATAGTTTATAATTAATGGAATTTATATTTTTCAATAAGAAGATAATAAGATAAATAAAAATTTAATTTTGACCATTTATACTGATTTATAAAAAAAAATGTATGATGACAACCTCCCTAAATAGTTTGTATATAATATGCTACTGTATATGTATATATAGTGCGCATACGGATATCCAGCTGTTGTGATAGTTTTATTAATAATGTTCTGTGTCTCATCTGTCTTATTTAATTTTCATTGAGAATTTATTAGGCGTCTAAACTGGTTGAAAGTCACATTTTATCTATCATAAGTCAATGTGTTAATTTTTTTTTTTTTTATTATCAAGTCAAATTATAGTATAAAATTCTATAATAACAATATTATGATTATCTATTTCTTTTAAGCATAACTTGTGTTAGAGATAGAAGGTATAACAATGATTTATTGATGATATTCATAAAATATTTAAATATTATACTATGAACACAAATAATTATTGGTTAAAAATTACATGGCATAAAAGCCATTTATTTATGTAGGTTATCATTGTTTATTAATTATTACACTCATTAGTTGGTTTGTTTTTAACGGTGTTTGAGCTAAAAAATATTTTATGTGCTCTTCTATTTAATCAGTAAATGCATGATTGTATTTTTTAACCTTTTTTATGGTATCTGAAAAATAATTTTATTAAGTCATTATGTCCACATAACAGCCAAACAATGGTTTTATGGAACATTAAATGAGTACCTTAGAAAAGAGATAGAGACAGAGAGTTTATATAGTAAATATTGTATTCGTATAACTATACCTTAATAACAAATAAAAGATAAACAAATTTATGAAATTTATGATACATTTATGTAGTCATAATTGTATTCTTTTTGATGTTTTATCATGTTCAGTAATATTTAATAATAAATCATTTTGATTGTTACACTTACCTAAAATAACTGAGCAAACGAAAACATTTAGAAGATAAATTAATCTTTTCAGTATTTTTGTCTAAACCTGTTAGCAAATTAGTATTAGAGTAAATGTTTTGAAAATCAAATGATAATTTCCCAGCAACTTCATAGTTCTCAACTTCTAAAGTATAAAAATAGTATAGTTTAATTATTAATGCTTTACCATTAGCTATGGGCTCACTTATGGGATTGGGGGTTTGAGAAAATGAAGATGAATATAATTGTATGGTTTTTGATCCTTAAGTAAACATATTTTGAGAAACAGTATTTAAACCATAATTAAAAGGAGACATTTTATTAATTACTTATTATTGTAGTCTAAAGTTATATGGTATTTACATTATAAAATAATAATTACAATTGATACCTAAACTTATTAAATAATTCATTTACCTTTTCTTGTAAATATTAAATATTTGCAATTAATTTTTTTTAGAAATATAATAGAATAGTTTATTAGAATAAAATTGTGAATGAATTACCTATAACATCACTTTAATACTTTTTTAGGAGATAGTGTCCAAAATTGTTTTTCACTGACATAGGCATTTTTAAAAATACTAAATACATCATTATCTGTATAACCTTAGGTTTAATTTAAAAATATAATTATTATAGGAATTAAGGAAATTCTTCAAATAAAATTTTCAATAAGATTCTATAATTTATAATTACTTTTGGTAGAATATTTTATTTTGTTGAGAAATGGAGACCAACCATTGTGTTTTTATAGTTTTATATGAGTCATATTGTTTAATCGCAAAAGAAGACTTATTGTTAAGTATTTTATCCTACTGACTGCGCCAAATTATGTTGCTTGCTGTCAATTAGTTTTTGTGTTGAAGATAAGTGGAAGGTGTTTCAAATAATACTCAGTTTTAAATTAAATACTATTTATTTTACAATATTCTAAGTCCAAAACGTTGATTTATTTATTTAAAGTCAGATAACTGGCATGAAAATGTTTTTTTCAATCAGACTAAAACATATTTAAATTTGGTCAGTAAGGGACTACCTTATATACCCCGTTTTTGTGTAAGACTGTGGTTCTCCTTTTCCCAAGAGCCTAATTGAACATTGTCATATTTTAAGTAATGTTTTACTTTCATTATTATTTATTCAATTTTAAACACCGATCCATTAATATTTTATCTTGATTGAACTTTATGTTTCTATCTTCATTAACTAAAGTGGTTAGAATCACTTCTGTGAATCACATAGTTACTTTAACGATGATGAAACATCGTGATTTGTATTTGCATATTTGTTTTATTGTACTTTCTGTAATTGCAACCATATTACTAGTGCCTATGTATATTAATTATAATGAGTTAATCTAATTCTATTAATACTATTTATGTGGTCGTCCTGTGTACTGATTTTCGTAAGGGAATACATTTATGTATGTTAAGATTATAAGACTCTCAAACTTGTAATAACACTCAGTGTGCTGAAATATTTTAATTTACAATAAATGTAAAAAAATATTATTTATTATGTATTAGATAATAAAAATAATAAAAATTAAATTTTTAATAACAAAAAAAAGTTGACTATTTTATTTGGATTAAGACATAAATAACATTAACAACAACTCTAGTTATAAATATAGTAAGAATATAATAATATATTTTTAAAAATATGTATGATTAGTTACACTCACCTAAAAATAATGGATATGAACCAGTACATGAAGTGGGATTATAGTGTTCTTGTTTTTTGTAACGCTTTCTCTGTCACTATCTTCATTGGCAGATAGATCTGAAATATATTTGCCTTTTTCAGCCCTAGCTCTGGTTTCTATTAATGATGATTTTGAAAAAAATAAATTTAATGTTTTACTTCATATTAGATATTACTATAAAAAAAAAATTTAATAACTCACTAATAAAATTACACAATTCTCTACATTTATAAAAATTTAAATCATCCTTTTTGTGATTGATGACCCAGTTTCAATTGTATTGTAGTCAAAAAAATGAAAACAACAGAAAACAATAAATTTAATTTAATAACATTTACAAAATAAAATAAAAATGTAAACAATTATCAATCTGTTGAGTTTAAATTTATTTTAATGTGGATATACATGGATAATATAATCAGTGGCGTAGTTACGGGGAGGGTGTAAGGGGTTTCCACCCCCCCCCACAGATTTTTTTTTTAATGATATTTGATTATTATTTATTAATATTTATATATTATAGTAAAATATTTTGATTTTACTATGATTAGGTATATATTAAAAATTGAATAACAAAATAATTTTCATTAATACGGGACATAATAACACTATTTTAAATGTAATATTATATATGATCTCGTTTTAAGATATACTACGAACACTTAAAAACTTACTCTTAAACACCCCCTCCCCCCAGAAAAGAATTGTATCTACGCTACTGACTATAATATTTGTACTATCTTATATACACAGATAGAACAATTTTACAAAAAAAAAATTGATTGTTTTGCATAGAGATAATTAATTTTAATTGGATAAATTATTTAAAATAATTCCTTATTAGGAATATTTATATAGTATATATTAAGAAATATAAATACTTTGGTTTTTATTATTTAATATTACCTAAAATGTATTAATGTAGGATATTTTTAAAATTGGTTTATATATTTAAAATATTATTTAATTATGTAACCCTTCTAAAACTGAATTAAAGTAAATGTTAGTTTGGGTATTTAATCTTTTTAAATCTGTATTAATATACATTTGTATTATGGTTATTTTCTATAACAGTTTAGAAAAATTTTAATTAGAGGCAATCTTTTAATTTTATTTCAGAAATGCACTCCTCATATCTTATTTTAAAATTTCTATTTGTCTTTCCTATATAAAATGAATTACAATTACATTTAAGTATATATATTCCAGAATTATTAAAAGAAGAGGGATTTTTTGTGAAGTTTTTAGTTCTATTATTTATATGATTGATTGAATTATAATTAGTATTAAAAGCAATTTTTGTAATATTTATATTGGTGTTTAGAAATTTAGCAAATTTGTTAGTTATATTATTTTGATATTTCATACTACAATAGTTAGCAATATTATTTAATGAGTTGTGTTTTATTTTTTTTTTTAATACATTTTTGCATTTTTTTTTAATAATATTTAAATTTAAATTATTTTTATAGGCTATGTTGTTATAGATAATATTGATATTTTAATATATTTCTCTCTATTCTTAAAATATATAATGTTTTAATTAAATATTCTATAAACTAAAATGTACCTATTCCATTAAATAAAACTAATTATTTACACTAACTCAATAAAATATTAATAATTTAATAATTTTTAATTTTTATTACTAATATTTACTAATACTCATTTGTAATTAATATCTAATTTATGTTAAAAGCTATGATTGAAGTATTGAACAATTAATTGATTAAAAAAATAAAATATTATACCCAGGTGGGTATTAAACTATTCATAATAAATGGGTACTTATAATTATTCACTTGAAAATAGAACCATTTAAATTTCTAAATGAACATATTGTAAATAAGTATAACATACTTAAAATTATATTATAATAAAGAAACTTACATTTATATACCTAATTAATTTTCTTGCCTTATGAAATAGACAATAGTACAGTTAACAGTTAACAATTAAAAAAACACATAGGGAAATGCAAATAGTATATTTTATATTATTATACTTATAATCACATAGAATACGTAATATATTCAATATTCGTGCACTCATAGACAATTCAAAAATAAACATGCATTCGCACAAATATCGCACTGTTCTAAATTTAATACCATCAAATTTTAAAGAATATTCTAGAATATAGAATGACGGTGAGACTGTGAGAGTAGTTTGTGATGTGAGGATCGACATTATTATTGCCAATTTACACATAACCATTCCGTATCCAAATCACACGTTCAGTATTAGTGCAATTATATAGTACAAATATACATAATCGATTTGTATCCAGCTTCGTCAGCCTCCATTTTTTATATTCAAATAATTAAATTTAAAATTACTTAATTAAAACGACTATGGTCAGTCACGGTACGACTCCGAACGTCTGAACTACTATGCATGCTAATGTTCGCAGCAAACTGCGCTCGTTGACAGTGGATCGTTTGCGCAGCGCGTGTTATGTTAAATATGAAATTATTAATTATTACTTAATATTTCAGTTAACTTTTATACTACTTTTTACTTGAGTATTTTTAATTGTACAAGAAATAATAAATTTCAACACATGATACATGCATATTTACTATCTTTATTAAACAAATTATCTGCTATCTAAGCTATTAAATGGCGTGTGGAACAGTTAATATATACAATAAAATCAATAGTAAAATATACTTTATTTGTCTTATGTAACTAAGTAAGTAGGTATCAGAGTTGGGCAAAAACAAATCAAAATTATGAATAAAAAATAAAATCATGATTAACTAATTATTTTGTGAATAAGGAATAATATTTTATTTTAAATAGTTTTAGTTGCGAATGAAAAATAAAAATTATTCTGAATAATAATAACTCAACTTGTGAATAAATTGATTATTCTAAAAAAATTAATTAATTAAATAGTGAATAATATCCAATTTTAATAACAATTATTTATATAATATTTATTATTAATAATCATGTTAAAAATAATAATAGTAAATACTATACTAAATAAAATTTCAGCACCTTTAATATGGCTATACTAAATTATGTCAAAGTTTATTTTAAATTAAATACAAAAATGTTACTAAAATAGTAAAACCCTTTGTGCGGGTAAATAACATATCCATATCAAATGCTTAACCAATTAGATAGATAGATAGAGATAGATAAGTCCCTCATACAGAAAAATATTATTTATGATTTTTGGTTTTGACATTTTCAATAGTAAATAATAACCCTAATATTTGATGTTGTTAAATTAGAAGAAGTGATTGATCTTAAGGAAGAATCTGGAAGAATGAGAAACGTCTCAATTAGAGATATTAGGGATAATCCAGCAGAAAATACTGTAATTAAAACAGAAAAAGATTTATTAAACAAACTTAATTTAAAAATAGAAAATCAGTCAGAAATAATCGATAAGAAAAATTTAATAGATGAACCAGCTGCTCTCAATGAAAACCTCAACTCTGTATGTATTCAAAAATTGTACTATTTAAATGTTATTTAATTGAGACTAAAAATTTTATTTTATTTTTTCAGTCAAATTTTGTAGTTCCATCAAATTCTAGTCATGAATTAATGAATATATTTAAAGAAGAAGTATGAATCATCAAAACAATATTACTCAAAATATCATTCAATGCTAATTTTAATTACATTTTTCAGATTGCAGATGATAGTACAAAAGATCAAGTAAAACAAAGACGATTATCAAAAAAGTAAGTTCTTATTTGTAAAAGATTATCTTGTTTTACAGTTTGTCTTTGGGATATAATTTTAGGTTTTAATTTTTATTATTATTGAAAAAGATAATCAGCAAATCCGATTTTCCTTTATTATCTATTATTTGTATTTCAATATTATAAATCTTCTCAAAAATTGCCTCTTATTTTAAGTCAAATTTAAAAATTCATGTTTGTTATGAATTACTACATTTTCTATTTTTCCAAGAATATCACTTTAAATTTTTTCACTGACCGCACAAACTCAATATTTTTAATTCTTATTGGTTTTAGTTCTGAAAGTATGAACGAATATAGTGAAGAATCAGATATTGATAGAGATGGAACCACGACTATCGAAGATGATCCAAATAAACTTTGGTGTTTTTGTAGAAAACCTCATAACAACGAGTAATATTAAAAAAAATTACTATGTAGAATAAAAATATATACATATAAAATTAAAACAATATTTCAGATTAATGATTTGTTGTGATACTTGTGAATTTTGGTTCCATATAAAATGCATAAGTGCTGCAAAGAATTCGGCTAAACAATTGGGAGCTGGTTGCGTTGAATGGCATTGTCCACTATGTATAAAAAAGAAGACTGAAGAAGCTCGTAAAAAATCTGATAAGAAGAAAACCAATAAAAAATTATATAAGGATAAAAGAAAAAGATCTGGTTCAATATCGCCAGTCAAGAAAACTGATTCAAAATCTACTAAAATTGAACCTTTATTACAGCAAAATTATGTCCAGTGTAAAAAGCTTTTTGAAGGTACAACAATGGGTTTATATTCTATTACTTATATTGTAGGTCGTTGATATTAAATATGGCCAATTCTTAATGTAACAAATTTTAACCTCGTCCATACGATGTATGTATAGGGTTACCATATTTGGCTAGGATCTTGTCGGGACGTTCTAGGAATTCTATGATGGAGTGTACAAAAATACTCAATTTTCCAATGAAAATCATAATTCTTTATTTTAAATAAAATATTTGTTTATTTATCAAGGTTACATAAAAATAATATTTTGAATTTAATACATAATTTATTTACTTGGATAGCCATACTTTTCAGAAAATTTAAATTTTTTCTATAGTTCTTTGTTCCCTTTTACAACTTTGTAGAACTCTGCGCAAGTCATGTTATAAATTAACTTGACACTGTAAAATCGACTTCATAGTCTCTGAAAGCAGGCGATTTCGTTTATCAGTCCACTGGGCCGACATTAATGAAAAAAAAGTTTCCACTGTGGCATTGTGTGCAGGGATAGCAAACAAATATTCACATAATTTTAACAATTGGTTTTTTTTTCGTGATTTTCAGTTCCATTAAAAAAGTAAATCCGAATTGATCTTCTGAAGCAAGTTTAATTTCTAATAAGTTTTTAAGATACATATGGTCGCTTAAAGTATCTGCACCATTATTATTAAGATATAAACTAGTGTTTTAAATTTTTACCCATTCTGGGATTTCAGATAGCGTTATCCAATTGAACACTTCATATTTGTAAATAATACTGACCATTTTTTCAGATACTCAGAGTCTATGTTAAAAAATGCTAGTGTTCAAATTTTACAATCAAAATTATTGTTTCAGGTGTTGGATTCTAATTTTTAAGTTTTTGCATTTTCATTTTGGTTTGTAATCCAATAAATTTGGTAGATTCCCTTTCAATTAGGGTATTTTGTGTTTTGTTTAATATTTTCCTGATTTCAATTATTGACACTTCATTCTTTTCAACACTCTTTATATTTTTTTCAAAGAAATTCAAGTTTGAATGCAGAAATAGGAAATAAATGTCACTAATCAGACTTTTAAAGAAATCTGAAATTATTTTAGTATCTTCTTTTCTTAGTCAAAAAAATGTTTGAGTGGTTTCCAAAGTTTCAAGATTCTTTCAACCACGGGCATTAATGACATCCATCTTGTTCTTGAGTGTGGAAAAATAGTCTGATGATTAATATTAACAAATAAACAGAACTCTTTCAGTTTTTCCGTCCTAACAGTGTATATAGCAAAATAATTAAATATTTTAAGGATGATAACTTCGATATCAACTGATAATATTCCAGCAATACTTGATATAGTAGTGTGCAGAATATAGGCTGGACATTCAATACCTTCTATTGGTTTTTCTGTATCTTTTATTTTATGAAAAATATTGCATTGACCGCATCGTCGAAGCCCTCCGAAATTGGTATTGGTGTTGTCCCAACAAAACGCAATTAGCTTATCCAATAGAATCTGCAACTGCCTACAATATTTGGAGATAATTTCCAATGTTTCATTTTTGAAGAATCAAACTTCAATAGTTTCTGTTGGATTCCATTATATTCAGTGAAATATTGAACAAGTAAAGGAAACATTTTTTCAGCTTAGTGATTGGACATGTTCCTATTCTGTAGCATAAAACTTGCAATTTTTTTTTACTTTCACCACAGAATGAAGGGCGAGAATATTTTTAACAATCGCTGTAGCCTTCGTTTTGGCTGTGGGTGGTTTTGGTGCGATTTTATAGTCGAGATACATCGTGGCATTCAGTTTTACAATAAAATCAAGAGAACTGAATGATTCATGATGTTTTACAACTTTATAAGCTGTTATTAGTTCCGCTGCCGTAATAAGCAATTCTTTTTAGGTATCTTATTTAATCATAAATTCAGATATGGACGATGATGTCGATACAACAGTGAACTTTTTTTTTGTGATTAGTCGTAGAAATGTGTTGTTTTACGTTAGCGCTACGTGAATAACTGATAAAAAACAATTACAAATAACACAAAGTGTTTCTTCATTCGTACGCCATTTGTTTTATAAAACTCCACACCTTCGTATAGTTATGCGAAAAATGACACTTGCTCTTTCTCAATGTAGTTATTTTTGTAAATAAACGTATAGATAGTTAAAATTTTGTACTTTCCGAAACAAAAAATCGTACAGTATACTTTCGAGTAAATAAAGCGACTAACTGACTGTATTATTGTATTATTGGCTTATGCCATGTGCTCGTGTCTATGTAAATACAATGAATTCGATAATCGCAGTAAAACCTGACCGATACGATTCTAAAAATAATCAAACTATTGAGAACAACTGTTCCACGAAAATAATAATATCTAACGATTGAAGACTGTTTAAGACTGATTTAATTGGATTTTAATCGCATACGTTTTAGTCATACAAGTTTAAAAACATAATTTTTTATTTTCGATAGCAATGCGCAGTTTCAATTGGAATATTATAGTAATATGTCGGGACAGAGAGCTCAATAACGGTGACGATCCCGATATATCGGAACGGATGGCAACCATATGTATGCAGAATAAGATGGTTTCACAATGTGTTTTTGTCGCAAGTGAACGCGCGTTATAAAAACTCACATCCGCAATACCAAAATTAAAATTAAATGTATTCTTTTATTCTGCAAGAAAAACCGTGCGTTTAGTCGTATTCCCAAAATTAAACAATGTATTTATAGATTTATTCATTCATTACTACTTATGTATCGTCCCACTTGATATTGGTTGATTTCATCTATAGATCCAGTTGTATTTTCCACACCAAAAACTGCAATATCGCTTCCCTTGTTGATATATTTGAAAAATGTACTTGATCCATTTCACCGAATTGCAATACTCGACATTGATGTGTGCTTTGAATGTCTTCGAGAGTAACGGTGAAGACGGTACAACTCTACGATTATCCACTTCAACATCATTGTTCCATACTTTTAAAATTATTATTTTGCCGCCATCTTCAGTTGATCGTCGACGATAGATAATGACGATATCTGTCATTTCCAGTGATTTTTTCGGCAATTAAAATTCTTGTGTATCGTTTTGCGCATTTCCCATCAGACATGCACAGTGAATTGTTATATGCACCACATGGATCATGAATCATATTATTTGTGACTCCTTCAAATAAATGTGGATCGTTGTCGGCATTTGGTATTTCTACTAAGATGACCTCATCAATTTGGTTTGGTGTGAGTTTTGTGATCAGTCAAATTAAAATATGTGCATGCGGCAATCCTTGTTTTTGCTACTCAATTAAATACATCCAACAGCATGTCACTCCAAAAACCTGATGCTTAACAATAAAATCAAGTAAACATTTTAATTTTTGTTTTGAAAATAAGTGCGGTAATATCATGACGATTCGAAGATGATAGTATAGGTAAAAAAAGTTCTTTAATTTCTTCCCACGTATGATTGCATGCGAATATATGCCCTAACATATATGTCATTGCATCTTGTGTGTATTCATGCATGTACCGTGGACTCCCTGTGAATGTAGCCGAAAAAATGATACTTTTTCCCAATTACAATTGTATCACGTAAATGAATGTATTCTTTTGAACGCAGCGTAGTTTGATTTAATCGATTGTAGAGTAGTCGTTCGGTTTCGAATTTTGCATAAATATCGACAATATATTAATGATACTATTCATATCATTGTCATGATACGTAATTCATTGATTATTAAAACTATGTTCATTGTTATTATTTTTTTTATTTGATTAAACTTAATTAATTTACATAGCTTAACTAGATATATATTAGTATAATTTACCTGATATATTTTAATATATTTAAATAAATATTTTTTTAATATATTTTTGTTATGAACTTTTAGGTGAATCTCTTAAACGAACTTCATCAGATGAAATATCAGTCAATAATATGATTAAAAAATGTAAATCCATTTTAAGAGGTAGTAATAGTAATGAAAAAATTGAACTTATCAATTTTAGTAATAACCTCAAATACAATAATCCTATTGAAGTTCTTAATGAGATGCCTAAAGACAATTGGGTTACGAATGAATATCAATCAATTAATATCAAGAATAATACATCTACTCCTATAGCAAAAATAACTAGTACTCAAGTAAAAGAAGATCATAAAATATATGATGTAAGTGAAAGTAGTTCATCATGTTCCAATAAGTTAGTCACTGTAGAAAATCCGGAAGATGATGATTCTCAGTTGACAGATTTAATAGCACCAAATGTCTATGAAATATCTGAAATAAAAGGTAATTTAAATGAATAAAATACATTTTCTTCGGTTTTTAAAGGTCATTAAGACACAAGCTTGCTTTTATTTGTCCAACCCGTTGCTATTGTTTCTCCATCTCGTATTCTAATCTCTGCTAAATTCTCCTCCACTTGGTCAATCCACCTTCGTTTCGGTCTGCTAAGTGATCTTTCCCCCCAGGGTTTCCATTTTAAAACCGCTTTCATAAGATTATTTGACCTCCATACATGATTGGCACATGCCATTCTTCTATATTTCAATACTATTATGTCTGGCTCTTTATCTAACTGTAGCATTTCTATATTACTTCTTTTTTCATATTTTTTTGTGATATCATTTATTTTCAGCCCAAATATTCTTCTTAATACTCTTCTTTCAAGTATTCCGCATTGTCTTCTGTTCTCTTCCAAGTTTAACCCACCATATTTGTTCTGAGTTTTTCTAACTGCCATTTCTAATGTTATATTAAATAGTATTGTGGATAGGGCATCTCCCTGTCGAAGTCCAGTCTTAACTTCAAATTCATTTGATATATGTTTATTTATTTATTATTGAATACGGGACGTGCCCAATTACATTATATTGTAAACATAATAACTAAGAGAAAATTACATAAATAATTAAAATTACAAATATTAAGAACAAATATTAATATTAAAGAACGAACTGACAATAATTTAATGCTAGGTACTAATATGGATTGAACCTAACCTTACAACTGGTTTTCTTTATACATAATTTGATCATTTTCACTATTTTAGCTGGTATCCCAAAGGTTATAAGTGTATCCTATAGAACTTCTCTATTAATTGAATCATATGCCTGTTTATAGTTAATAAATAGAAGATGTAAGTCATTGTTGAATTCATAATGCTTCTCAATTAATTGTTTAACAGTGAAAATGTGATCTATAATGGATCTATCATTCATAAAACCACATTGGTAGTCTCAAATTTTTATGTAAGGTGTTATTCTATTTAGTATGAGACCTGACAAAACATTGTACATTGTATTCAGCAGCGATATTCCTCGGTCATATTGGTAGCTTGACCTATCTTCCTTTTTATATATTGGACAGATTATTTCTAGTTGCCATTCTTTTGGTATTTCTTCTTTATGCCATACATCTCTGATTAATTTCTCTATTTCACTTATTAATTCCTCACCACTATATTTTAAAAATTCTGCAGCTAAGCTATCTTCGCCTGGTGAATTATTGTTGTAAGTGCGTTTATAGTTATTCTAACTTCGTCGTCCGTTGGTTCTACGTCTTCAGGTTCTTTTGTATAGTACTCAATTTGCGTATGGTCTTTGTGCATTTGTGGGTTGAATAATTCCTCTCGAACACTTTTCCAAATTGTTTTACAATTTTTTTCCTTCTGTTACAAGTTCTCCGTTTTCTTCTTTCATTATCTCTGTTCAGAGGTTATATTCCGTTTTTAATTCTTTTGTTTGTTTGAAGAAGAATCTCGGGTCTGTCCTGTTATCTTCAATCTGTTTTATTCTTTCTTTTTCCCATAATCGTGTTTCCCTCCTTATTCTACGCTTAGCTTCTCTAACTTTCTGGGCAAAATTTTTATTTTTTCTGTGTTTGGGTTTGTAAGCATCAATGATCTCGCTATATCATTTTTTTCGATTGCGCTTTGACACTTATCGTTAACCATTTACGTTTTTGTACTCTTTTCTTTTTTCTTAAGTGTTCCAATGCAGTTGTTTTTATTATTCTCTATATTTTTCCCAACGGTTTTTCAATGTATTCTGCCTCTATTCCGCCCCTTAATTTGTTTTTTAGTTCATTTTTGTATTTTTTTAACATTTCAGAGTTTTTTATCTATATCATCTTTTTTTTTTCTAATATCACTTTTTTTGTTCATTTTGAATAAAATACTGATGAATAAAATGGAACAGTTGTTCTATGTGTAATATTCTCCTTAAACTTGATACATTTTCAGATATTCAAAATGATGTTCCATCTTCAAAAACCAATTATCCGAATAAGCATTTCAAGGCAAATAAAGACGATAATTTTAAAAAAATTGATTTTATTAGAAATTTTAATGAAACTACTGAAGCAGATGACAAAATTATAAATGATACTCCAGAAGAAAAAGTCAAAATGATGATTAATAATTTGCCTAAAATTATCAAATATATAAATGAAAAAAAATTAACTTGTAACGTAAGATATTTTAATTTTAATTATGCGTCACTGATACACAGTGCTTAATTTGAGGGGGGACGGATTACCCCGACTAATTTTCAGAAATTTTAGCATCCCTCTACTATTGCTATGTTATAATTATAACGTTTAACAAGTCTTGGAGACGCTATTTTCTTTAAAGTAAACAGAGTCCCCCTTCTTTCATTTTGCCAAGTGAAGCACTACTGATATAAGTAGCTGACAATTTGGTAATACTTGCTCTTGCAACGTTTTCGATATATTTCTAATTTTTGCTGTTGAGTATTCCCTTATTTAAATGTTAGTCCTAAATCATAACTTTAAATAATAAATACAGTAATAGTAATATTATGCACAATATGCAATGCAATATTATTGTAATATTACAATTTTAAGTATGGTTATCAGTTGCCAATTTTTGTGATGCATAGTATTGCCTTAACTACTTATATTTATTTAATAATAACTTAAATGAACTATAATTTGATTATTTTTCATCTTAGGATATTAAAAGAATTATTGGTCCAAGAATATATAATATTATTAAAAAAAAAGTAGATATGACTGAACATATGCAAATGTTAAAATACATATGCAAATGTTAGGTGAAAGAGAAAAAAAATGGCGGTCAACATATAAAAATATGTTTGACCAAATAAAAGAGCTAAAAATGTGTAGTGGACAATCATCTACAGCAAATATTGCTACTACTTACGTACAACAACATAAAAAACCTAGTGAAAATATAGATATTACTAAGGATGATAGAACTGATGAAATTATATTGGATAAAATAAGACATTCTAAACCATCATGTTCAAAAAATGTTAAATGTTCATTTGATACAACTTCTTTAAAAGTAAATATTATACTAATACATTTTGGGTTTGTTATTCAACGAATAAATTTGAATCTACTTAATTCCTTTTAAAATATATTTATTTTTTATCATTTAACGTTTCTGAGCTTAATAATAGAAATAGTTCTCTTAATGTTTCTTTGTATTACCTTAAGCATTTAACTCTTTCCTAAACATGGCAGCAAATCAAAATAGCATTAAATATTGATAAATTAAATTCTATCTCATGATACATGAACTATCTACTCGTATTATTTATGTATCATGGGTTTTTGGCATCATAACTATATAGCAGTAGTCTATAACAGTTAACAGTAATTTTTAGTTATCATTTACTATCTAAAAATTTAAAACGCAACTTTTATTCGGCATATTTTTAATTTTAATGTAATTTTAAAATATTTCACTAAGTTTTCATAGGTAAAAATGATTAAAACTTATTTACATGTATATAAAATAAAATATTTCTCAAATTTTATGACATATTTAAAAAAATATATTTTATGTTTTTTTAAGATTTTAACTTTAGATTCCTGGAAATGTTTTCTTCATATTTTTATGTACATGATTCAGAAATATATATGTAAATAAAAATTTAACTATTATTACATGAAATCTAACCGTTGTAATTATTTATTGGAGTAATATTTCGAACTTATCTAAAGAATCCAATTATGATATTTTCCGTATAATTTTAATACCTATAAAAAGCTTATGTGTAGTAATATTGTAATGTTTTAATATTATATAATATCAAGGCTTGAATATTAAAGTATTTGCTAGTTATTATAGAATATACATCGATAAAAATAGATGAATAAGCTATAAGTTTGTTATATATAAAAAGGATTTAAAATCTTATATTGAATACTACTTATTTTTATATATTTTTAATTTTTTTATTTTATAGTCTATTTTTCCAGTTTCTGGTATATTATTTGCTTATATACATACTACTACTTATTACTACTGCTTATAACATTGTAGAATAATTTGAATAAAGTAAAAAAAGGTCTTATTATTTTTATAAATTTAATCGCTTATAAATAATTCTTACATTATTATAAATTTTGTAAAATGTTAACAGAAAAAAGAGACTTCTTTTTTTAAATTTCTTTAAGGGCATTTTATTGAGGATATACTAAGGTTTTCAGATCATAACAAAACGCATATTTGAATGCCTAGTGTCTTAAAATCGGAGCCTTAGTAATTATTATAATTAAAAGTAAATTATATTTATCGAATTTACTAAATTCTGTACATTTCTTCTCATCCTTAATGACTCCAAATTGAAGTGTTATTTTAAATTTTTATAAATTTTAATCTTAGCAAAAAACAAGGATTACTGATCAACTGCAAGTACCAATAAATGTACGAACAAAATGTAAGTCTTTGTCTACTGTTAAAAAAGACAACATTGATACCATTGATCTGACTGAGGATGTTGTTGACGAAAAATTAAATAGAGTAAGTTTGGATAAATTACTAATAAAAACTGTAAAACACTCCAGTTTTTAGTATATTATTTGTTTGTATACGTTGAATTTAGTTTATTTTGTATATTCGTATTCCTCATTATTTAGATTAAAAGTGTAGAATAATTTGAATAAAGTAAAAAAAGGTCTTATTATTTTTATAAATTTAATCGTTCATAAATAATTCTTACATTATTGTAAATTTTGTAAAATTTTAACAGAAAAAAGAGACTTCTTTTTTTATATTTCTTTATGGGCATTTTATTGTGGATATACTAAGGTTTTCAGATCATAGCAAGACGCATATTTGAATGCCTAGTGTCTTAAAATCGGAGCCTTATTAATTATTTATAATTAAAAGTAAATTATATTTATCGAATTTACTAAATTCTGTACATTTCTTCTCATCCTTAATGACTCCAAATTGAAGTGTTATTTTAAATTTTTATAAATTTTAATCTTAGCAAAAAACAAGGATTACTGATCAACTGCAAGTACCAATAAATGTACGAACAAAATGTAAGTCTTTGTCTACTGTTAAAAAAGACAACATTGATACCATTGATCTTACTGAGGATGCTGTTGACGAAAAATTAAATAGAGTAAGTTTGGATAAATTACTAATAAAAACTGTAAAACACTATAATTTAAATCCAGGAGTATCACCAAGGGCTTTACAAGTATAACTGATAATTTTTTAATAATGCATATAATTTGTTAAAAAAAAAATATAATTTCAATTTTATCATTTTGGACATCAGGGCCACTAATTTTGCAAAAAAATGTAAGCTTATCAAATTGTAGTTCGAATTTTAAAATAAAAACTACATCACCTACAGTAATTAAATAAAATAAATTTTATTTTAACTTATTGTATTTAATTTCACTTGTAGGAACATACTCAAATGGCATATGCTAAAAGGAAAAGCTCTATAAATGAAGATCGTAGTAAAAGAATTATTTCAGAAGAGCGTGAAACATATGTACCTGTACAACGTGAGTACTCTACTTATATTATATAATATACTCTGTTACATTTAAGAGTAAAACTAAGACTGGTTATCACCTAATTTCACCAAATTCTACCGCATTTTCAATTGATGACCACAATTTTTAAGCACTTGTTTAATCGCCGAATGCATCAGTAAACCACGCCTAAAGTGCCATCTATCACGATAAATTATCGCTTTTATATGGAATAGAGTATAATATTAATTTTATTGTAATAATAAAATTTTATGATATTAGACGGTAAAGTTGGTTCTAATTTAGTACTACAGGCTGTAAGTATTGAGCAGACATCGAGACATCATACACCATCCCCTGCGCAGGTTCAATCGGCTTCGAGAGAAACTCAAATTTATCAACAATCTATTAGACCTGTTGCTTTCGCTACACGTAAAATATCTGTACCAAAATTGAATGAATCATTAAAACCTGTTATACCTACACTAAAAGTATGATTTCAGTTAGTTTATTTAATTTGATATTGTAATTCATTAATTTTATTTTTTGTGGTAATGAATTAATTTAAAATTATAGCATCCTGCTACATTGGCTGCTGTTCCAATACAGAGAAATATTCGTCAATTAAAAAAATCTCCACCTACACCAACATTGAACATTGTTAAAGATATGAAAAATAATGGTTTTTATATTATTGCTATTATATTCTGTATAAATTTTTTTATAAATATATTGAATTCTAATCATATAATTATTGTTACAGCGTTAATGCTTGTTTGGAATATGAATCTTAATAGTACATATGCTAAAGTTGTTAGCTATAAAATATATACTCATAAAGAAACATCTTCAGCTCCTCTTCCTAGGTTTGATCTATGGAGAGAATATAAAACCGTCAGTGCTTTTGATTTACCAATGGCTTGCAAATTAACTAATGTAAATATTATTCTTATAACTTTTGAAAATAACCTAATTTTAATTAAAATTGTTTTAGTTTCCCAGTAACGGAAAGTACCATTTTGCAGTAAGAGCTGTAGATGTTTTCAACCGTATTGGGCCATTTAGTTTAACACGCTGTGCAATTGTGTCTTTGTAATAAAGCTTGATTTATTTTAATTTATTTGTTGTAATTTATGATTTTAAATTTTTAGTTCTTTGTATATAACTACAATAGTTAAACTACTTATCAATAACTTTAACTTTAATGATCATTAAAAATAAATGTATTCTAAATTATTGTGATTTATTTATATCATGTTCATTTCCCATCTTAATATTCTCTTATTTGAAGTGCCTACAAAATAATTAGCAGATAAGAATGGTGCTGCTATCTTTTTTTATCACACATAATTATATAAATTGATTACCGATATATTTTAAAGTCGTAAGTTTAACGTTTTGTTATGCGTTTTCAAAGTTTTAAAAAAAATTAAAACTGTGCACTGTGCAGTTAAGACTTAAGATGATGAATTTTTGTAGTTATTTGTAAAATATGTTTACAAAGTTATTTTGTGTATTTTAACCAGGCTCGGTACTTATAGCACAAATCATAAAAATAAGTGCTTAAAAAGCTTTTAAGAACATCATTATAAGCACTAAAATAAGCATTTAAAAAAATTTAAAATTAAGTAAAAGTATGTATTAAAAAAAAAAAAACTAAAATTTTTATCTAAAATATCAAACAAAATAAAAATAAATCTTCACTTTCAAGACTTTAAGGATTTTATGAATTTTCTGAAGGAGTTTTTTAAAAAATAAAATGTAAACTGTGTTTTTTGTTTTTGATCATTCTGACGTTTGACACTCGGTTCTATTTTCAGTGTTGGAATATCTTTGTTAACCCTACAATGATTCCTCGGACAGCGACGAACTACGTGACAATGTAGATAGAAAAAGAATTATTCTTATTTTTAATTCAATCAAAAACGACTTTACAGGAGAAAACTATAAAAACGTAAAAAAAAAAACTGGTAAAATAAGCAAAAATAATCAGAAAAACTGGAAATAAGAATTTTTTTAAAAATTGCTGAATAAAAGCAAAAAAAGGCACTTTTAAATTTCATAATTGTACGTGTTATAACTTAACATATACTTCTATAGCATTCTGCTACATTTTTAGTCAATCCATAAAAATAAGCAAATGCTCCTGAACCCTCATTATAATATACAACCAGTTTATATTTAATTACACTTTTTATACCTAATTTTTAAATTTCATTTGTATATAATACTAGGACTTGAGTATTATTGTCATTGAAAATATTATGCGTTATATTATACGTTTTATATCTATTAATTTTTATATATTTATGTTGTAATTATTATTACAACATCGTATTCAGTGGGTGGAAGTGGGCGAATTCGTACCAGGATCGCAGGAGTAGGTCGCGCGCTCGGCGGTCTGCATCGCCCGGTTCTTTACGCGTTTCCGTCGTGGTCCGGTCTGCGTGTTCCCGAAATAAATTCATTTCGGTCAATCGTATGTGGAATTTTGAAACACTACAGGTAGACACAGGGGCGTATTTTAGGGGGGGCCATTGCACCCCTCCTGAATCCGTATTTAAGGAATCGATTATATGTAAGATACACATTTTAAATTCCATTCACATCAACTATATATAAATTACAAAATATAAAACCAAAATGTATTTCGTGTGTACTTATGAATTGGGTTCTAAGCGTTTTTTCTAATTTTTATTTATGCTTTGCAGATAGATCCATAATTTAATGGAAAAATTTTGAAAGAAAATTTTAAATTTCAAGCTATTTATTTCATTTCATCTTATATTTTTATTCTAAGAAATTATGTTTAGCTTATACTAATAACACATGTACTGTTGTTATTTACGAGTATATTTAGTAAAATATATTTTTTGTACCAAAATCCCTTCAACACCGTTATTTCGTATGACACGATAACGGGCATCTCTGTTTGGTGCCATCGCCAGTGGTGAGCGAGTACGACACGTCTGGCGGAGCCGTCGAGGTTGGTGGGCTCCTGCTGCACCACCACGACCGGTATAAATTAGGCGTTTACAAACATACAAAATACGTTTCACTAGTCAGTGATTAAAGTGGTAAGAATTTTGACGGTTCAAACGGCTCATAACCACCAAAAATCAATTCCTGACCAGCTCGCTGCACTGAGATTTTGGGTCTCATTCAGCCTTTTACGATAAGCCGAGTACCAGGAACGCAGGAATAGCAAACGACAGGAACACGGCGGCAGTACAATACTACTTTCTCCATACGTGAATTATCTCAGAATTTAATTTTAAATTTCTTTTAATTTCAGTCTCAATAAAATACCATGTCATATAAAATACTTTTGAATAAATATATATATATATTACCGGCAATATAGATAATCTGGTATTTTATAAAATGCTTAGGTATTATATAAAATGCCAAAAATCACTCGGCAATATACATAATACGAGCTTTGCCTGAGTATTATTTATAATGCCAAACGAGAAGTAGGCAATATGATAAAAACAAACAAAATTTGGCATCGGTTATTACTAACGACTTTACTTATCATTTATCATAAATGTGCGTACACCATTTTAAGCAATAAAGATTAGTATTCTTTTACTACTATAATAATATTCTGAGGTTCAATATTGAACGTACTAATAATTTTAATATAATATCGTCATTTTCGTGTATCGAAGTCTCGTGTCTATGAAACGAATACGTACAGTATTTCACCGCAGCTACGTACAACATGGTGTTCGACGATCGCCACTGTAGATACATACATGCCGATACATTCGACGACCGTTTGTTCTGTTAGAGGCCAATAAACAGTCTGTACCGTTGCCGATTCGCCGACCAAAGGGTTGTTTGAACGCTCATTGATTTGCCAACCAAGGAGTTTTTCTGAATACTGACCGAGGCAGTAGTACGCGCATCTACCGAGAAGTCGATCTGGACACCTATAGCCTTGCCAATTAGGGGGACGGTTTGGATCCAAACCGATATACTACTCAATACAATTTTATTTTGTCATGTTTCGATGTTAAATAAAATTATAATAAATCTTATATAATTAACATAAGTAAAATATATGAATATATTTAAAGATGTTAGCAATAATAAAATATTCATTTTGAGAGTTTTTATGAGATATTGTACCTATCATGTTCCTCAAATCTCAGGTAGACACAAAATGTCCAGTTTTATTTATATTTAACCGTAACAATTTAATGATTATCGTTGATTGCATTAATCGGATAATCGGCGATCCCTTAACTTTTGAAGACGTTAAAAAATATTTAGTGGTTCAAAGCAAACATTTTGCAGGTAAAATGTATTACATGTTCTATAAATAATCATTACATAATGACAACATATATATATATGTTGTCATTATTATTACAACATCGTATTCAGTGGGTGGAAGTGGGCGCATTCGTACCAGGATCGCAGGAGTAGGTCTCGCGTTTGACGTGACACAGGGGCGTATTTTAAGGGGAAGCGAAGGGGACGATCACCCCACTCCTGAATCCGAATTAAGGAATCGATTATATGTGAGATACACATTTCAAATTTCATTTACATCGACTATATATAAAAAAAACAATATATAAAAACAAAATATATTTCTTACTTATGAATTAGTTCTAAGCGTTTTTTCTAATTTTTATTTATGCTTTACAGATAGATATATAATTTAATGAAAAAATGTCGAAAAAAAATTTCAAATTTCATGCTATTTATTTTATTTTATATTATCTTATATATTTATACCTAAAAATTATGTTTAGCTTAGTGTAATATACTAATAACTAGGGCTAGGGACTTCATGCCTTTTAAAACCTTAAAATAAAAAGCATATTTGTACTTTTTTAAGCGCATAAGTGCATACATATTTAGTACTTTTTAAGTGCATTAAGTTCCGAGCCCTAATAATGAGTATTGATTATTTAAATGTAAATCAACATGAAAACATTTGGTGGTGCCAAGCACATCCAAGGCTCCCCCAAATTCCGCCTATGATTAATATTTATTTTCATTGTATGCTTTTATTTCAATACTACTGCTCATTTATGTACTTATTTATTATAATATACTATTTTTAACTTGTAGTGTTAACCCTAACCTTATATTTTAATATGCTTTAAAGGTTATATGAATGCTTTAAAATGTAATAAATCAACTATTATATTTTAAAATGATTTCTTATATAAATAAATATTTTGACCAGTCATTTTTCTATAATGGGGCCAACATTTGTTGGCCCCCTTCTGTTTTTTGTACCCAATACCAGTCCTCTTCTTATATTAGTTATAGTTTTATAGTTTAATAAGTTATGAAACTTCCAAGTACAATATAACTACTTTCCAGGTACTATATTAATATGTAAAGTATTCAAAATAAAAATTACAAAAAACTGCAGTTTCGCTATGATGCACGATCGCTTATTTTAAAATTCGCTATTTTTATTTTCGCTATTAACAATTCGCGATTTTCATAATCGCTGTTAATTATTTCACTATTTTGGCCTAGAACCATAAAAAACAAGATGAAAATAATAACAGTTAATATCGAATTTAAAAAAAATTAATCGTAGAATAATAAGAACAGCAATTATAAGATATTAAATTTAAATAGTACATTACATTTATTTATTTAAAATTAAGGCATAAACAACGAAGTTTGATTTCGTCATTAAAGTTAAAGTTGAAGGCATCACTGTTGCATCTTCTTAATATAGGTCTATAGAGGCTCGTGAAAACTATAAAATGGTGAGCGGAAAGGTACCTAAAGAGTAAACGTGTGTTATTGATATGTATGCCCTTAGGATTTCTAAATTACAGGAGGTCCACATAATCTAGTATTAACAACTCTTGTTATAATCAGTATATGTTTAAAGTTTAAATATATGTAGGCACCAGTAGTTACTACTAACTTGAGTGGTACGTAAATGCAAATCACAAGTGTTGATTATAAGACATGAAATCGTGCGAAAGGTAGAAATCGTGAATAGTCCAGGGTAAAGCACACAGTAATGTATATGCAAATACTGTTTTAACAATAAAGGGAAAACGAACAACGAATAGTTCACATGAGATCAGTGCCACAATAACCAAGTGTAATGCGTGTGACAAAAACGCAGGACCAGCCTATAATAATATTTGAACAAATACGTAGGAAGCGAGAAAATAGAATCATCCAATTGGATTCGAGGTTTTTAGATTTCAAAGTTAATGAAAAATGTTTTAATTTGTTTTTAATTCCATTTTCATTATCAATTGAAAATGTCCTAGAAAATATGCAAATGGGATGATTGATTTACAAAACAATAAAATATTAAAAGAAAAGTACAATAATGTTAAACTTTCAATTTTTTATTCGAAATATATTGACACCATAGGTGGAAATCGAGGGGGGCTTGAGGGGACTAAGCCCACCCCCAGGAATGTAAAGTACAGATTTTAGCCCCCCTAGCCCTAAAAATTGTTAAGTGACTAAAAATACAATAATTATTATCATTATAAAATGCTTTTTTAATAACTGAATTAAAAAAAAAATATTCTGTGATAAAAATTAAATCAAATCCGTAAGATTTTTCAAACTTATTGTCATTACTTAGAACGATCGTAATTAATGTAATATTAATAATATGTAATAATACCAGCATTGGTTGTTTAATTTAATTAATTAATAATTTCTGTTTAGAATACCTACTCCAAAAATATTTTAAATAGGTTCCTAATTGTTTTTTGGTTAAATTATTGAGTGTATCAAATTGTCATACTTTGTAAATAGCCTTGTTGAAATAAATAATTGCGTACAATGGTACCTATAGGTGTAATAAGCAAATAATGTACAGTGGCTGAATATTCAGCTCCCCACTAATTTCACCAAATTACCGTTTATGATTGTTATGATTGACACAGACACATATCTTAATCTTTGAAATAACGTATTAAGAATGATGTCTCTTTTTGGCGGTACTTACACTTGAGAACATAGGCGTGCGCATGGGTGCAGCGAATGCTGCTTTCGCTGCACCTGACACTTTATCTTGGATTTAGTGGGCTGGTAGATATTTATTTGAAAGGTATATATAGAATGAATAATTTTAAACATATTAAGTTTATAATTAAATTAAAATATAAATGTTCATCAATATTATTCAAATGAAAAATGATAATAATATTTTATCAATACAAATCTAAAAATAGATGGATATTATTCAGTAAATTCAACGTGCCTACACACTAGATTATATAGTATACAAATATAGACACAACCACAATGACAATAGCGCATTAACCATTCAACCAGACGTGCAGTGATACGAAAACGGAATAAATGCCATAATTAGTAATAAGTAATCATATAACCAAATCGAGTATTATGTTTGTAATTGAATTACGATTTTTCACTGTTACTGCAGTCTGAGTAGTGTCATTTATTACATATGTGATGTTAAATATATTTATAAAAGTATAAATGAATATACTAAATTTCATAAAAATATAATTACTTTTTATTTACAATTCACTATATTTCTTATAACTATAATAGGTTAGTTATATAGTGATGAATCTACACTCAGAAAAATATTTACTAATATCAATGAAAAAGGTATATAATACTAAGGAAAAACGGGTATGATTTGGAGCCTATGATATCGATTCATAGAAATATAGCATAATATAATATTATATTAAAGCTAAATAAATTTCATTAAACCAATGTTTTATTTCATTGATTATAATTCTGTAATCCATAAATTTAATTACTCAGAGATTAAATTAATGAAAATTATGTGCATTAATTTAAAGATAAAAAAAAGTCAAATAGTATTTAATTTAAAGAAAAATGTCTTTAAATTGATTTCTCAACAAATTTAAAAAAAAGGAAACTCTTGCATTGATTGTATGTTATAATTTCTTATTTTTAAAGAGTATTGGGATTAAATTAATTTGATTTATATATAAACAAATAATGAACTGTAAGCATTGCTTTTATGCTATTTATCCTTATTTTAAAACAATTCTTGGTTTTAAAACAAATTTTTTTTTTTCATAAAAACTATGATTTCTTTGAAAATTATAATAAAAAATTATACAGTTGATATAAATAACACTTTATCATTTTACTATAAGTAGAATCTTTTTTATTGTTTGAAAGTACATATGATTTCCTAATACAATTTATGAACAAGAAAAATATAGTATATAATGTTATAAATAATATAAATATATATAGTGTTATCAAAATTATATATTGATCAAATATATATAGATCAAAGCTGTGTTTATCAAAAAATTAAAAAATAAACATAATTAGATACAATACATTACAATACAATATTAATAAATGAAATAATAATACATAGGTTCCTTATAATTTAGGATTAGATTAAACATCAGTTAAATAAAAATGTACATAAGTTTATATAAAAAATACTGTTGTATGTATAACTTATACTATAAGTTATAACATAAATCAAATTATATGTATTTTAATAAATATTCTATGTAAAGTAATGTTTGACCCGTATTACCGTGTCTTTATTATTTAGATGATATAAATGAATTGGAGGACCCATGAAATATGTATAACTTTTCAAAACATATAGACCAGTATCAACATTTGAGACAATATAACTTACAAAATGTTTGTTATAAGACAGTACATTTAGAGTATGACATAAAAAAAAACACTTTATCATCAGAACATATAATTTTTTTTAATTTATATACTAATATATTATTGTCAAATAAAGCTGTTAATATATGATTGATTTTATACACTGTGTTGTTATATACAATTTGATCATAACAAAGAGCCTGATCAAGTGTCGTCAAATCATTAGATGAAAACAAAATTTTAATTTTTTCAAAATATTCACATGAACTCAACGAAGAGCCTAAATTTTTCGAAATACAAGAACTATAACTTAAATTTAAAATTAAATCAGAAAAATTAATGGAATATTTTATACCTAACGAAATAGGAATATGAACTCTTGAAGTTATGTTTTTCGTGTATGTTTTAAGTTGTCTATGCTTAGACTCAAATCTATAACTCCATAAATATTTTAAGGGCCCTGACTTTTTTATTATATTACAATAGTGGATAAGAAAGTGATGTTTTGGCTTTAATGAATCTTGAAATAACTCAGTATATTTATTATTATGATACGTGATATGTTTTTCTAAATTCAAAATAATTTGATTATTGAATTTTGGCAACAACAATAAATCAATCATCTCAATAAGATTGATCAAAAACAACCAAATTTGATTATTTTTAGGGACCAAGTCTCCTACTAGAAGTGGAAAAAAATGAATAAATGTCTGCATTTCCCTTGAAGACATTTTTAATTTCAAAGTATTCATTTTAATTTGCTTTATAGGAGGGGACATGTTTCCAATTTCAGTGTCGCCATAATTAAATCCTTGTTTTCTACTATTTAATGTTTCCAAACTAAAAAAACCCAAATTAATTAAATGACATATGATATGATTCATATTGTACACACAAATTCCCTCATAAATATCATGCATTATGTCCACTGCATAGTTTTTAACAACATGGAAGGAATGTATTTTGTTAAATATAGATTCTTCATATATACCAGTAATTTTACAATTATTAATCTTAATATGTTCATCATAATTTTGTTTATTACGTAGTAAGTTAATACTTTCATTGGTAAGTTCTTGCGTACTTTTTTTGTCAGAAATACAAAAACGACAAAAATAATTAGATGAAAATGACCTTGCAAATCCTAAAATACTATTTACTCCAAGGTTATCCCCCACAACTAGACCCAACAGAAATTTAATCTTAAATTGTTTTCCATCATTTACTATTATATTTATTCCATGATTTTGTAATTCATTAATTTCATCAACTAAAAAATAAAAACATTTATCATTTCCAATCAATTTTACATCTTTCGAGTTAAATAAGGCAGCTACAAAAATATTATTTAAATTTGATTTTAGAGCTTCAGGAGCAGTTGGAAATGAATAATAAACACCTAAAACTGATGATGAATGTGAACCCAACGAGTTGTTCACCTCAAAGTCATCAAAATATAAGAAGTAGGGTATATAAATGACACCGTCCTCATTGAACAACAACATTTTATCTTTCCATAGTTGACTATTAATGAAATTTGTAAACCCATTTTCATTTTTCATTAAATCTTGATTTTTAATGTAAGAATCTAAAATACCTGGTGCCTCAAAGTATTTTCTAAATTGAAATTTTAATGGTAGGATAACTCCTTTGACTTTTTTTTCATCTACAGTGTTAATGTTATTCATTCGCACATCATCTATGGTGTTATCCAAAGTAATAATTTTAGGCTTTTCATAATAATCATTAATTTCCAATGATTTAAGAAATTTGAACTCGGTATCTAGTCCTACAAATGGATTTTCACAGAAATGAATGATGGATTTAAGTGCATTTTTTTGTATAGTGTTATTGTCAAGAATTAATTTCTTTAATTCATGAGCGATGGAAGTGGTTATTATGTTTGTTACATTTTTTTGAAGTTGGATAGCCTCTTTCCTGGAAAAATTAAATTTTCCATAGTAATGGGCAGAAAATTTTATTGCACATTTTTCTAAACCATCAATATCAACATAATTAGCACAAGGTTCATGTGTTAAAGTGACCATTTCTATATTTGTGTTAGCGTTATTTGCAATTTTAGTTGAGGAATTATTATTTTTTTTAAAATTATGATTAGAATTTATTTTATTTAACATTTCACATTTCATATGTTTAGAAAATGTACGATAAGCCGAAAAAGTTTGTGAACAATGCGATATACCACAGCGATAAAAACTCGATGATGATAATGAATGAACATACTTTAAATGTACCATGAATTGATCAAGTTCAGTAAATAAATCTTTACAAATAAAGCAAATTAGATCCATTGTTTAAATAAATGAATTTATATTTACAAATCGTTATACATAAATATTTATTTATTTAAATGAGTCATGTTACCAAAATATTAGTTTGAAAAAAAAGAATTAACAATATTATAAATACTAAATTTAACTATGAGAATTTAAATAGTAGATAAATCAGAAATTAATGATGTTAAGGAAGAACTTTTAACATCACACTCATTATGAATATCATAGAGAAATTTTTGTATAAATGTCCAAACTAAAACAGATTGAATGGGATACTGTAAATTGAACACTTGGAAAATTTTAAAACATGTGTCTAATGCACGAACTATGTTAGGTAATTTATAATAAGTATTGAAATAATATACATAAAAATCTTTTGTACCATCTATGTCAGCTCCAACAATGCATATGAATGGTTGTACTTTTTCTTTGTTTTTGTAAGCGTTGTCAATTTGTAATTGGCATTGAACATGTAAATCATTCAGTGAAACCACTTGTAATAAAAAAGACGTTTTGGCATCGGAAATAGATGTTTTGACAATGCGTCGTTTGTTGGTAAGAGGATTTATTTCAAATGATCTGGAAGTTGGAACCAATAGAGCATTCATTAAATCCAAAACTAAGTGATTTCTGGTTTCTACAAAAACAAAAATAAGCATTACTTAATTGAATTAATTAAAATTATAGCTTTTAAATATTGTACCAATATCTGTTTCTTTAATTTCTATTAAACGCTTGAGTAATAATTTGCTGTTTCCATCTTTTATGTTAGTGATCATTAACGGAATAATATTAATAATAAATGTATCCCACTTCACAAACAGTGAGTTTCCTTTTGTAGGATGTATATAATCAAAATCAATATCAATCTAAAATAAAAACAATCTAATGTTAAAATTAATATAAACTACAAGTATTAAGCCACAAAACATTTAACAAAATGGCAGACTAGTAATATATTATTTTGATACAAAGCCAAACTATTAGATATAGGGCGTGCATTTATAACTACTTAGTATACACAGTTGGAAAAAATTTTAATTCAATAAAATAAAATATTACCAAATTGTAGGCAAATGACTGTTTCAAAATAGGCCATTCGTCAAGAATATCAGCTATGTTGATATTCTGTGACAATAAATAATCTCTACGAATTTCACAAGTTTTTTGCCATTTTGAAGTTACTTCACTAATAGGTTCAACATAAAACTGAAGCCATTTCTTTAATTCAATTAAATCTTCATTTACTATATAGGTACATATAACAATAACCATTTACCATAACTATTACTGAAATTGGTTTATTTATCTATTTATGACTATACAATTATTTACTTATAGTAATTATAATAATTTTTTCCATGTTGAAACAATATAAAGAGCATGTATACACGAAACACGAAGTAAGACTGCAACGGGTAGTTAACACTTTTACAAATAACTAAATATAATAGCAGAGCGTGTTAATTGGTTCGATTGTAATGTTCAATTTCCGCCGCTGCCACCGCCGCGGCCGTCGCCAATATACGGATCGCCGTTATCAAAATAATTGTTAGTTAATATTGTTAATAATAGATCGAGAAAATCCTACCCATAAATTCTAAAATAAACTTTGAGTGTTGAATCAATTGATGGCATAGTATAATTATATCATAGACGTAATTGTATTGATTTTAAGAAAAATCTAGTGCTTACAAATAAATACTCATTTAATTAAACTAAAGATATATTTGGTTATTGGTTGAAAGAAATAATCATTATTTTACATAAATTTAGTATTAATCTAGAATAAAACATTTATTAGAAATAATGTTTTATTATCATTAAAACATAGGGCCTTAGAGGTATTCAAACCTATCAAACTATTCTTTAAATTAATTATATTTTTTATACATTTAAGTAGGATGTATGCTTGAAACGAATCTATAGACTTCATTATTTCAAACATTTTTTTTTCGTTAATTTGATTTGGTCATCTTTAAATTATGGATATTAATGTATTGAATATGTATTTATTTTAAAGAAAATTTGATTAATTTAATATAATTTAGTATTAATTCTAGGTAAATCGTTGAACTTCAAAATAATGGTTCCATTTCATTAAAACATTGAAAGATATTTTTCTGAGTGTATATAGTGGGGGGATATACCATATAATGATTTGGGTACAAAAGTGATTATATGAAATTATAAAATCAAAATCCTGCGCACGCCTATGCTTGAGAACATATTTTTTCACAAATGAAAATTGTCAAATCGGAAACTAGAGCTCGGTCAATGGACATTCACTTGAAAAATTCACTCAGAATCGCATCGTCTCAGATCCAACCAAATATACACAGATTAGTTAGTGAAAAATAATGTCAGTTATCACACTAAAAATAAAATTAAAAAGATGTTTATCTACATATGTTTTAATAATAATAATTATAATTTGTAATTTAAAATGTAATCGTATAAATTGTCATAATAATACTGAATTCTTGTATAAAATACATGTTTTTACTACGAATGCGGCCCGCAAGATTATTAAAAAATAATACGTGGCCCGCTCCATAAAAATTTTGAAGCCCCCTGGTTTAGAGGGTTTCACCGGTGAGGCAGTATTTTGAGTGGATTACACATTAGGCGATTCGAACGCACGTCTCTGTGCGTTTCGAACATCGCAATTAATCGCTCAAAATTAAACATGTACTTTTATATGGGTTTATTCATACACGTAAATAAGACGCGCGTTCGGTTGCGTTCGAACGCACCGAAACGTTCATGTTTAATTTTGAGCGTTCGGTCGCGATTTGTCGGTATAATTAAACATTACTTTCCCAATGCATTTCCAATGCATTCCCGGCGGTTCAATACACACGAACGATTTAAACGCTGCGATTGCCTTGCGTTTATTTTCGTTCATTCATAATTTGTCTACGACAGTTGTCGTATTCGTGTACTTATAGTTTACGAAGTTCGTTATTCTAAGTTGTTACTTGTTAACCAGCTTACCCAGTTAGTTGTGATTACCTAAGTATAACACTTAAGTATTTAGCTTAGACGAAACGAAATACAACCAAGTACGATATAAATGTATAATAGTATACGAATTGAACAACAGACGTCATCCACGATGGGATGTAACAGCAGTACTAACTTAGTATACAACTAAGTACAAAGACTTTAATGGTTGAAATAATATTTGCCATGCTTTTTAATTTTAAGAAACGTGCCCTAATCGTCTAGTGTGAAATCGCGACGTTCAAATCGTCCAGTGTCTAATATCAATTAATCACTTTGTACCGAAATCGCTCAGACACCGCGTTACGTATGTATTACCATTGATTACTAGTATAATAATAGTATTTATAATCAATGTTATTACTAGGGCTAGGATTTATATGCATTTGCATGTTTTTTTCCTTAAGTCCAAATTGATTGTTTGTCAGATTTTTCCACGATTTTGCTTACTCTCGTTTAAATAAAATCAATTTTTTTTTGCATATTTTGGACACAATGCATATAATTGCATATTTATAGATTTATGAGTTTTTTTATTTTTTTTAACTTAAATTTTTATAAATTATTGTTAATTTTAAATGGCGTTTATTTCATAATACCGATAGTTTTTGGTTTATCCGTCGAATTGTAAATATATAGTATAAATATTACTTATCTAATCTTATCTTGGTCGGCCGACCGATAGGATTACCTACACATTATTTAACGACGTATTTAATTTCATTAGTACGACGTGTGTTGCGTAAATGTGCGGACACTTATACTTAAAAATTTGAGTGGTTTTAATAACAGTATCAGTTAACAATTTTATAAAATGCCGAAAGTTCAAAGTAAAGTGTCAAGTTACGTCAATTAGTAGAAGAATTTTCAAGTGATGTTTTTAAAACAGATGGTAAAATATTATATTGTATTATTTGTGATCATCAGAAGTGAAGTACGAAGAAGTATTACTTTTTGTTTCTGACGCCGTGCCATACATGGTTAAATCAGTGAACTCCTTGACTATTTTATACCCTAATTTAATTAATTTAACATGTTTGACAAATGGGATTCATAGAATTAGCGAATGTTTACGAAATGAATATTCTACTGTTGATAAATTAATAGCGACAGTTAAAAAAGTATTTTTGAAAGCTCCCAGCCGAATTATCAAACTACGTGAACTATTCCCAAATATACCTTTACCACCTTAACCAATTATCACTAGATGAGGTATATGGTTAAATGCAGTAGAATACTATCCAAATAATTTTGATTCAATAAAATCTGTAACATCACATTTAGATGACGAAGCAGAATCAATTAAAAAATCAAAAGAAATGTTTGAAGGCAAACATTTACAAAATGATTTAGCTTATTTAAAAAGTAATTTTTGTTTTCTCATCCAACCTATTACTAACCTAGAAAAAATTATACTATCTCTTGACAAAGGTTTAAACATTATTTTAAATGTGAAAGATAAACTGAATAAATGTAACGGGAGAGCGGCAGAATTTGTAAAAACTAAAATGGATTTTATACTAAAAAAATAAGGGATTTAAAACACTGTTAAAAATGTATAGAATTATAAACGGCAAATATGAAAATGAAGAAGAAGATATAAATATTAATCTAACTCCAGGGAAAATCGCGTCATTCAAATATGCACCAATAACCTCGTGTGATGTGGAAAGAAGTTTTAATCAGTATAAATCTATTCTACATTCAAATCGCCGGTCGTTCGTATTTGAAAATTTGAAACAACATATCATAGTAGCGTGTAATAATATAAACTAATATTTAATGTAATAATAATAAATTATGAATTATGATAAAAATATATATCTAGAAATAATAAAAATTTGTTTTTGCATATTTTTGCTTATTTTGGTAAATCAAATGCATATTTTACAATTTGTATTGCAAATAAATCCTAGCCCTAGTTATTACGTACGCGTCGGTCGCGGTCCGCCGTCACGTGCCGCCCACTGTCAGCGGCCGTCGCAAGTGGTGAGCGAGTACGACACGTCGGCCACGGTTGCTACGAGCAATAAAGTGCTCGTTGAGCGTGGGCGCGCCATCGTTCACTGTCGCTATCACGAACCTCGATGGCGCCACCGGCGATTACACAACATTTTTCAATACTACGACATTAGTCACGGGCAAAAGTGGTGACAATTTCGGGGGAGGTTATAATGTCGAGCCGGCTCAACCGGCGCTTAGCGAGAAACCGGGTACCAGGAGCACAGGAATGGTACGCGCCAGGAATAGCGGCGCAATACTACTCGCTGTCGATAATTCCATATGTCCCATCATATATCTCAGAATTTCGGGTAAGATTCCACAAAAACACGGCCATCCGTTATGTATTAAGTGTATAAATATTATGTGTATATAGTATATATAGTATATATTGTATACATTATATATATATATAGTATACATTATATATATATATACAATCAACATTACAAATATGGTATTAAATGGATTGAAGCAGACGCATTCGTACAAGGATCGCAGGAGTAGGTCGCTCACTCCGCGTTGCCCAGTTCATTGAGTGTTTCCCGAAGCAAATTCATATCTCTCGATTGTATGGGCATTTTTAGAATAGTGCGGGTGGACAGGACCGTGTTTTATATGCCGACCCTCACCCCTTTTTCTTTATATATATATATATAACTTGTTTCACATAAGAAGAAGCCCCCCGTTGGAGGCACTCATACTGACATTAAATGTTTTAAATTATATAATTAATATTCAACTGTGTATGAGTATATAGTTACTTTCCCCCCCTTTATTTTTGTTGGTTTTTTTTATTTTGTTGTTATTGCTGAATTAGATCTCTACACCATGACCTTTTTAGACTATGGGTCGGGTTATCGGGAAGTGTAAGCGAGGATAGTTTGTTAATTAAGGTGTTTGGATGGTATTGCAGTCAGTTGTGGAAGATTTTGTTACAGCGGATTATTTTTCTGTGGGTATGTTAAGGTCCTTATGAAAAAATTCGTTGGATATGTAGGGAGGAGCATTGAGTAATTGACTCTCACCCTTAAATTGCAAAACTGAAAACAAGTATCATTGAAAACAACTATTCATTAGAAATCCGGTTGCTAAACTCGCAATTCGCTTTTCCCATTTCAGATTACGATTTCACTATATTTGTTATTAATATAAAATATAAAATATTAACTGAATTTTAATTACTTCAATAAATGTATAGAAAATTCTTGTTTATAAGACCGATTAATGCTGCCCTTACGTTGAAATGACCCATTCCCTTTACATAAAAACATATCTTTTTTTATTTTAGAGCAAGTGGACTGTACCCAAAATTAATTAA